TTTTTTTTAATACTTCCTGTGTCATTCAATATTGTGACCAAAGAATTCTTCAATATTGCAACTTGAGACTAGACTTTTTTCCTTCAGTTTTTTCAGCTTGAGGAATGCTGAGCATGTTCTTCCCTTTTAGTTTTTTAACTCCAGGTCTTTGCATATTTTAATATGATACTTTACTTTGCCTTCTTGAGCTACCCTCTGAAATCTTTTGTTCAGCTCTTTTATTTCAGCATTTCTTCCTTTGCTTTAGCTGCTCTCCATTCAAGAGCATGTAACAGCTACCAACCTTCCCCTGGACACAACCATACAGTATGTGGAGTACTTTCCTGTTACATATTGTGGTTTACAATCACATCATCTTTCCTGGCTTTCACTTCTATCATGACAAAGAGCTACCTTTTGAAGAGAAGGAAGATTTGGCAATTGCCCAAAAGAAGAGGGCTAGTTGCTTTAAATGTGTTTTCTATTTAATCCCAAACATTCTAGAAACAGTTATTTTTTCCAGAGAAAACTACATTTCCTTTGTGAAAGAATTATTTACAAGTTAATTACCATTACTTAATTAACTTCTGCAGCAGTGGATATACACATAAGAACCCAATGAGAGAGGAAAGTATGTTTTCCTTTTGAAAATGTGTCCTGCTGTGCTCTGTTTGTTGCAACTTTGATCATGAGAAATAGTTTTCTTTGATGAATGAATTATCTCAAATCTGAGTGTTGTCACTAGAGAGCAAAACTTCCCCTTCCACTCTTTCATGGGGATGTTGTCTTGACACAACCCTCATTTTTCTTGAGAGAAGAACATTTCCTAATGAGTGAAAACATCATTGCAGCCAAGAATCTGTGGCTCCAAATTTGCTAACAGTTTTGATACTTTGCTTTGATTTTAACATCAAATATGAGTGTGAAAATCATAGTTTGAGTCCTGGGTCCTCGAGTGGTATGAATGCGGTGGATTAGGGGTTTAATCAGTGAAATAAAAAAAACGACTTTTGTTTCCATTTTCATTTTTTACAATTGCTTGGGAGCAGGGGATGAATCTGTAAATAGTGAAACATGGATAAAAGTCATACCAAACGAAACTCACTGCCATCAAGTCGATTCTGACTCATAGAGACCCTCATTGGGTTGCCAAGGCTGTAAATCTTTACGGAAGCAGACTGCCTCACCTTTCTTTCATGGAGCAGTTGGTGGGTTTAAACCACTGACCTTTTGGTTAGCTGCCAAATGCCTTAACCACTACACCACCAAAAAGAACCAAACTCATTGCTGTCAAGTCAATTCCAACTCACAGTGACCCACTTTGGGTTTCTGAGGTGGTAAATCTTTATGGAAGTTGATTGCCCAGTCTTCTTTCTGCAGAGTGGCTGGTGGGTTTGAACCACCAGCCTTCTGGTTAGCAGTCAAATGACTTAGGCACTATACCAGCAGAGCTCCTTTAAAGCCATACAATGGATAGTAGACTATGGTCCGTACGATTCCCATCTTAGGGGAAGAGTTTTGTCAAATGTGACTGATACTGTTTTTGAGACGCTCTTGCAATACTCTCAAAAGGAAGAGGGGTGTGCATGTCTCAAACACTGGCTGGGAATCTAGAGGAGGTATTTGGGTTTGGTGGCAGGGTTTGTCCCAGCCATTGAAGGTGTGTTCTGCTGGTGTGACAGGGGATGGGACCAGTAACCCTGAGAGCTCTTTAAATGACCTCAGGGACAGAAGCAAGTGAGAGTAGCTGGAAGTTACCCACTTCCTGGAGGGAAATGCTGCTCTTGGTGACAGTCACAGCTGGGCTGCCCTGTAACCGAGAGGCTAGGAAAGCCCTCAGATGACACTCGTCAGCAGTGGCAATGTGAACAGGTATGAGTGTGAGGATGAGTGAGCAGCAAATACAGACTGCCCAGAGATCAGTTTAGTGACAAAATGAGCACGAGGAATAG